ACTATGACTCTCTTTTGATATAATTAAAACGTATTATGCAATATCAATAGATAAGTTCACATAAATTCGGTGGTTTATATAAATTCAATGAATTCCAGAAATTAGATCCCGCTAGCTCCTCATATACTGAAATCTTTAATCCAAAAAAAAATGAAAAAATGATGATTTCTCGACATAGATTTTAATATATTTGTATGTATCTGATGATTTAATGGTGCCAATGTTTTTTGAAACAGCTGAGCTCTACAGCCAGACAGATGCTGTCGTCATTCTGCGTGCCGCCACCACCTCATGTTGTAGACATGGTGCATATCTCTAGCACACATAAAATATTATTATACAAGAAGAAGAGATATCACCATATTTAATCGATAGCATCTTAATGTGAAAATAATCACGAATAACTAAAGTTATCATCGAAAAAATTTTGATAAAAACATAATTCCTCTTCAATCGAAGGTTGAAAAAAAACAGACAATTCCGAAAGAACATACTAATCTAGTCTATGAACTATCTTCAAATAAACTGTCAAATATTAGAAATATTTTTTTGCTTCATTATTTTTAGTTTGGTTTTACATTTATTATTCAAGCTGATTTTGAAGTAAGTTTTCTCGTGTAAATGTCGATTTTCGAATCATTAATATTATTTAGGTTCCATCTTCACGTCAAGATATATTAAGTGATAGTATATGGAATCAATTTCTACTTAATGAAATTCCATTTGTCTTTCTTTCATCTCTTGATGCTTTTTATCAAGAACAATCATCTTTACCTATTGATCCTCTTCGTTTATTTCTTTATTTTCTACCAAATGAAACTTCAATTTATAGTAATAATCTCTTTACACCAATTTGTCGAACAATACTTCGTTTATTACGTTCTTGTCGATTTCTACCTGTTATTAATGATAATAATTTACATATGCCAAATGAATGTGTACTTATAAATGATTTAACTATAAAAGAAATTATAACACCTGAACTTTTATATAATCATCTTAATTTATATTATTTAAAAGATGATTTATATGAACATGAAAAACAATTATATGAACTTGGTGTACATCGTCTTGGTCATAATGAATTAATTGATTTTATTAAACAAATGTTTACTTCAGAAATAATAATTGAAAATAAAAGTATTCTATCAAAATGGTTTTGTTGTTTATATCGATGTTTAAATGAACTTTCTTTAATTGATGAACAAAAAGTTTTAAAACATATTCAATCATTAAAAATATTTCCATTAAAACATTATCAAGAATTTATTTCATTAGATCATATTAATCAAATTATTTTTTTTCCATCGAAAAATATTCAATTACCAATATTAATTGAACATGATTTAATGATTATTAATGAAGAATTATGGTTGAATTTAGAAGAAAATTCAATTGAAAGAATTCAAATACAAACATTACTTGAAAGACTTGGAATACAACGTGTAACACATCGTGCTATTTGTGAACAACATATATATCCTATTTTTGAAAATGAAAAACTATGGAAAGAAAAATCATCAGAAGTTCTTATTGCTTATGTTATGTATATTTTTGATCTATGGTTAAAACAGGTAAGCTTACAAATATGATCAATATAATAAATATTAATCCTTCATAGTTACTGTGGGATCCAGATGAACTTTGTAATTTTTTGTTCCTTAACACATTTTGTACTTTTTTTTTTTAACATACAACTCTCATCCTCTAAGCACTAATTTTCTGGTTAATAGGCGAGATTCTTGTCAAGTTATACGAATTTGTTTTAAAGACTAAAATACAGATTAAAGATCCGCTTGGGCTCATAAGAGTCATGGCATTATAGGAATTATTTCCAGTTTTATTAGCATTGAATTTTGAGATCATTGTAGTTTCTGTTGCAAACATATTTGTCAATCATGATAAATATCATTTATTACTTTCATCTCAAAATTGTTGATTTTTTTATTTTTGTCTTCTTCGAATTATCTCAGTGATATACGGAAAAACTATGACTTCTATATCTCTATGGAGTTCCAAATTGAAAATAATCATAAATCTCCTTTTGTAAAACATCATCTTAAGACAGTATTGAAGTATATAAAATAGAAATCTGCATCCCTACAGACAATGAAAAACGTTACTATGGAAACGTAACAGACATCTTAGTAGCAACACGTCACAGACGTGACAGCGTTCCATGACAGATATAAATTTATAGAATTAAAACGTAGAAATCACTTATAGAATAATAAAGATCTTATTAATAACATAAATAATAGAAATATTATACAACTAAAAATAAACAATAATAACAGAAAAATAGAACTCATGTGAACCTGTGTATGTATGTCACTGAAGAGACGACCTACACCCGCCGTTGTCGTTGCTCATATGAAGCAATTATTGTTGGAGAACAAGTGTCTAAGGTGTAACAGTCATGATGCTCTGTGATAGATGCCTCAACAATACCCTCTCATCCCCGTCACAGACACCGTAGCAGTACTCTCCTTCCATGCGTCGTCGATCGCAACCGACATTGATGTACAATCATAGACTGTATATCAACAATGTCTCGTTATAATATATGAACTATTTTCTTATTGCATTTTTGGAGTTTTACGTAAAAACAT